ATATATTTATTCTCTTTGTTTGGGGTGTGGTTTCTTTGTCGTGAAATCTGCTGAAAGATTGTATTGTAATCATTAAATTTTAACAGAAGCCTGCTTTTGCGAAACAAATTTTCTGACAATATTTCTTTCTTTCTTCTTATTATTAACCGTTTTTTATTCAGTCCTTTAAATTGACAGCATTCAGTTTGTGAGGATCGATAAACATATAAACTTTGCCTAAGCGACTTGCCTTCATCGCCTGTCATTTTACGACAACACACTTAGAGAAAATACATTTAGTTTCTGTCTGGGGTCTGAGAGAATTCTACAACTGAACTCGAATATCCAAGAACAAATATAACATTTAGTGTGTGGTAGTGAGATTAGCTTAAAGCAAGGATTTCGAATAAACATTTTCAGTGCACGAAAACACAGCTCACCTGAAATATTAAAGCTGACATGCGCATTCAGGAAGGAGACAATGCAGAAAACAAGCATTCCAATACAAACAACAAAGATGGAGATACAATACAAAGAAATCTGTGTATAATCATATTAATCTTGTATTAATCATATAAACACATCATATAAAAATAATGTACACCCTTGTGAATATTAGTAAACACAAAAGGAATAATTCTGTTATTATTTACTCTTTTTTGTATTTTCCCTGTGAAACATGACCCAGTGCACATGTTAGTACTTCTTATGTTCATTCTACGAAGTCGTTCTTTACAGATTGACCACAGATTCTCGATTGGACTTAAATCAGGAGAGTTTCCGAGTTAGTCTGTAGAACGTTGATTTGCTCACTGGTAAAGCTTGTCAGTGTGACCCTGCAGCGTTACAATTTTCGTACGCTTCCTTGAAGTAACGCCTTTCGCAGACATTGTCCGTAAGACAACTAATCGACAGTAGAGACAATAGTGTTTGGGTGTGATAGAAATCTGAAGCAATCACAGAAGACGCAATATTTTTCAAGGCCAAACAAATTCCCTCATACAAACCGGAAATAGATTCATGTTAGTGCACAACAATACAAATGCCCTAATGTGATGGAAAAATAGATATAGAGTACCTTCTGTCAGTCCACTGGGTCTAAAACTGACAGTACCGTGAAAGAAAGGAAACTAAAGCGGTAACTTCAGTTAATTTGCACAAAGGTTTATAAGAAAAAAGGTTAAAACTATATAAAAGTAATTTGGATTTAATGAATCAAGAAATGTTCATATGACTTATCTGGTCAGCCGACTCCAGAGTTTCGGATTGAAACGCTCATCAAAGACAGATGTTTGAATATTATAGATCTAGTTATCTATTGAATGTTTTTGGCAGTTCTTCTTGCCTGTAAAGCAAACTATATTAATTTACACGTATTCTGTCAGTTCTGTTATTATTATTATTATTATTAATATAACAGACATAAATGATTGATGCAACTCTTACTATACGAGTATTCTAAAATACCTAAAGGAGAGCACTATTTAAATAAAAAGAAAAAACAGTGTCGTGACAGTTTTCTTGTTTTCTTCAAGTTATGATTTGAAATTGTTTACACGTATAACAAAATATGTTTGTACATTTGTCTTGAGAAAAATGAATGATACGTAGCCAAAGAAAAAGGAATGCAACTCAAACGTGAGTAACATGATAGGGAACGTATTCATCTTGAAGTTTTCCCTACATTGTATAGTTATTCGAGAGCAATTAATCAAACAGTTTAGTATAAATCCTATGGAAATCTCCTGCCATTCTGTTCATTAGTGTTTGGATATGTAATTAAAGAATAAAAAAATCACATATATATAAAACGTGATGGTCTCGTCATGGGTTCAGTTCACGTCCGACTTTTAGCAATTTCTATATGTCTAATCTTGAAAGTAACATCTTTAACAATTTTAAATTATCTTCCATCTCCCTAAGATACGTCGACGATAATCTTATATTTGTCAGGAATGCGGTCAAAATACATAAGCTCCAAAAACAATTCCAGGACAACTTTGTCCATAAGTTTACATATGGACATAATAATACTAACAAAATCCCTTTACTAAATCTACTGATAAATACTAGTAACAATAATTTCACTATCTCCCCCTATAAAAACCTACCAGTATAATCTCCTGCAACCTTAATATAAGAGTGAATGCCCAAATTACTATAAAATAGCAATTATAAAAAAACCTAATAAACATTTAATTCATCCACAAAACAGATTTTCTACAGTGAACTAAAAATATAAAATAAACTGTTATTAATAATAAATTTCCTAATTATATTGTTGATGAACAAATAAGATGATCCATCAGAGATTTTTTATTCTAAACAAATAGAATATAATCCTTCTTCAACTAACAGTAAACATATCAATCTATTATATCGTAACCAAATGCATTCTAATTATAAACAAGACGAACAAAACCTAAAATAATTAATGAATACTAATATATCAACCATAGATTTTACTAAAAATATAATTCATTATATACTACACAAAATCTTGTATATCTAATAAAATCATTCCTAATGACTTTTCTCCGCCCACTAACGTGTTGCAAAATACCAACATTGTTTATAAATTTAAATGTACTCTGGGAGATTGTATCTGCCATGGTAAAAATAATATTTATGTTGGACATACTACAACAATGTTGTCTCGGTGGCTATGTTTTCATTTGAATAATATCTCGAACATTTCTAAATATTTCTAAACATTTGCAACAACATACCTGTCCACATTCGTAGTTCAGAAAAATCCTCGTTGAAAATTCCTCTGTACTTTTTCACGAAAAGGATAAACATAAAGTAAAAATTCTTGAAGCTATCTATATTAAAAAAAAGAATTGAAACCAAACGTTAATAAAATTAATATATAATAGATAGGTTGAAATGCCAAGGTTTACAATAATAGTTTCTCTTTTTACTCCCCAAATCATACTTAGTTAGACCCCTTTACTCCATTTGTAAAAAAATTAACTTTTAGAACGGTTTTAGCAGTCATGCACTGACGCGGCGATCCTCACTCCATTTGTATAAAATTTAACTATCAGATAACACAACAATTTGTCTCTGACAATAATGGATACTATAATATTAATTTTATTATAAACAGTACCCTGATGATGGCATATGTCGAAAATACTTGATAATAAAACAAATATGTACACGACAATTTTCTCTCGTCTTTCAGTAATGACATCAAAAAACTTATCCAAGAGTATGAAAGAATCTTAACGAAAATTAGTAGACAGAATATGTCTAAACTGTACAACGAAACATATATATATACATGATAGAAATTATTAGGAGAATTTGAAATAATCATAATTAAGAAATTCATCAATTCTAGAAGGAACCTCAACAGAATGCAGGAAGCACTGGACGGCCGTTTTGTCCTATATTTGGGACTCATCGGCAGTGGGCATCCACTACCGAGAATTGAAACCCGGACTGTTAAGATATCAAGCAAACGTCATACCAACAGGCCTCGGAGACGAAGAGTTAGCGAATCAGACTCGATATAGCGCCGCTCGATCAAATATTCCGTAGTGGAACTCATTCGAGTTTCACTTACTCATATACTAGACTCGATTAATTACTTTTATATATATATATATATATATATATATATATATATATATATATATATATATATATATATATATACTCGTTTCGAAAAACCTTCGAATTTTTGATTTGCCAATAATCAAATCAGTCTCGAAGAAAAAAAGTTTTAAAAAAACAAAGAGCTAGAAACATGAAAGTCTGTCGAAAAAATCGCACAGATACAGGTTTGAAGCCGAAAGAAAAAAAAACCGATACGAGTAAACAACTAACTAAAGAGCTCAATACAACCGTAGAGCGGACCTAGTGAGCCAGACAAACCTACCCACTGAAAAATCAGCTTTTGGAAGTAAAGTCTGATGATCCAGAACCCTGTTAAAGGGGTTATGGTGAAATAGCTTATTACATGGAATTTTAACGTGGTCTGTTTTTTATTCAAACAAATATATATATATATATATATATATATATATATATAAAAGGAAGAGGTTATAGTAGTTTCAACGAGAGAAAAGTGTGTATATTAAAAAGAAGAGAGGTACCGCAAACGTTTTTGGTTGTAATGTGGATTTTTTTTTAATTTTTAAAGTATAATATTTTTTTTGTTATTGCAAACTTTCTCAATATCTTTTCTTTTTTTTTTTTTTGTTGAACAGATCTGTTACATATTTTGCATTTAACCATGACCACCCACTCTAGTGCTTTTATGGTGGCAGGAATAAATGCGTTCGATTTGAGGTCAGGAATGATCCTTAACCCCATGAGGCTTTATTCCTTTGTTGCCGCACCTGATCTTTCCGTCCAGTCAAGATACTCATTTTACTGAATTCTTTTTATTCTGGTTTTGATACAATGGGTCGTGTCATGTGAGCTTATGAGAGATTTTATTTCTCTTATCAGGTACCCTTCATTATTATTATTATTATTATTATTATTATTATTATTATTATTATCATAGTTTTATTCATTTTAGAACAAGTAAATAACCCCAAAACATTTCTGTAATTCTATAAAAGGTATCTCCTAAGAATGTGATATAATTCGTATAGTACGATCTTTTATAGTTCTAATGAAGGTCGGAAAATCGAATTCTGCCAAGATACACTTTATAGACAGTCTCTCATTAAAATTGGTAATCTTTCCGCGCCAGATCCTAATATTTCATTATATTATTACATTTTTGGCATTCTTTATTATTCCGGGGTCATTTTGAATTGTATATGATACACACACACACACACACACACACACACACACACACATATATATATATATATATATATATATATATATATATATATATATATATATATATATGCATATTATCCCTCATCGATAGCACGACTCGGACTTTTATGCACAACGCAATCTTCAGGTGCAATTTGCAAGAAAATTTCAAAGCGGTCATGTTAAGAAGAAAAATAAAATGAAACTGGCTTAAAACGAATTTAAAAAACCAGAGAGAGGCAAAGACAGAAAGAAAACAGAAAAAAAGAAAAGCAGAAGAAATAGGAAGAAACCAGATAGGGAGAGAACGAAGTGAGAAACAAGAGGTTATAGAGGGTAGTATTGTCTAGACATGGGAATTAGTGGGAGGAGACATAAAATGTTGTCGTGACCTGAATCATATTAGAATATTAACCTCTGTTGTAATCAAATAAAATTTACTTGAAAAATAGGGAAAATATTTTATATCAAGAGATTACTATTAATTTAATACTTTATTGATTACAACAGATGCTAATAATTTAATATAGAAAAAAAAACAAAAATGCAATCGATGACAATGGAATACATTTAGGAAGTCTTTAACCAAATTGATATTAAAAACATTGACTGGAATATATTCATTATATATATATATATATGTGTGTGTGTGTGTGTGTCTGTGTGTCTGTGTGTGTGTGTGTGTTGTATGCCTTGCTTGGGGCGAAATGTTATATATATATATATATATATATAATTATTATTTATAAAAAAAATTATAACATAAGTATGTTATAAAATCACTACAAAAATAGCCATTTTGTTGCAACACACTCGGTGTCTTATCAAGTGATGATGTTGAAGATAAAATAAATGGTTTTAAAAGTTTCAGATTAATTAACGATCCTACACTAGGGGAAAACATTGTTACAAAAGCTAGAATAACCAATCAAAAACCAAGTATTGAAAGATTCAAAAGCTTGACAACGAAATCATGTTATAATAGCTATTCAGATCTTTAAAATACGTGTAATATTAAAAATAATTTATACTAACCATTAATTATAAAATTATATGATAAAATTTAATATTAAAATTAAAAACTGGCAATTTTAAAATCCAAATTTAATCACTAATATGTTTAAAACTACAAAATTATTCATTCCGTATATACAATTATATATGTATATATATATATATATATATATATATATATATATATATATATATATATATCAAATAATTAAATCCTATTGAGCCAGATACTACCTACGTAGGTTTCGCCACATGGGATCATGTGCTCTACTTTGTGTATTGAGCACCCTTAGTTTTAAATACTTACTCGCTGTTTTTTTTTTCTTTGTGCGAGCGATTAAAGATATTGGATGATTTCTTTCGCCTTCTTCGGAGGTTTCTGTTGCTTTCTTCTTTTATTCATTGTACCTCGGATGCGAATTTATTTGAAAATTCTGCTATCCAGTTTTTTCCACCCGCCAAGTTTAAATTGATTTTATATATATATATATATATATATATATATATATATATATATATATATATTCGAAAAGTATAACATAAATATGTTATATAATCACTACAAAAATAGCCATTTTCTTTCAACATTTCTGGTGACTTATCAAGTGATGGTTTTCATCTACTCTGTATTGAGCACTCTTTTAAGAATAGTAATTTTTGCTTATTGGAATTTACTCCTTATACTATATACTATTTACTCCTTATATTATATATATATATATATATATATATATATATATATATATATATAAAATAAATAAAAATAAATAAATTTTAAATTTCGTTTTTGTTATTATTTCATTTAGATTCCTCGTCTAGTTTCGGTCACCATGGCCATCATCAGGAGAAAAAAATTCTGCTTGCTTGTAGCAGTGAACTACAGAAAATAATTACATAATAATTAAATAATTATTTCAGATAAAGTATATCTGTAAAAGGACAGTATAAAAAAGATCAAAGGAAAACTTACTTTAGCCGACACGTTTTCGCCTTCTGAAGAAATTTCCATGATAAAGTTGCTCAGAGGACGAAACTCGTAGGCTAAAATAAGGTCTGTTTTATTCATATATATATATATATATATATATATATATATATATATATATATGGGGGGTAAATTAAAAATGGCATGTCAATCTCGTGTTAGAATATTGTTGTTTATGAATTTTCATGTCCTTTCCTGCCCACATATAGATCAATATGTCAATTGATTAATATTGATTAATTTCCAATATATAGATATATTGAAAGTTGTCTTATGTTAATAATTTTTTTGGTTATTTGTGATATATTGATCTGTTGGTGTGTGCGAAATGACATGAGAATTCATAAACAATATTTAATGAAATTCGCATATATATATATATATATATATATATATAGAGAGAGAGAGAGAGAGTGTGTGTGTGTGTGAGAGAGAGAGATAGAGAGAGAGATATATATCAAATGACCGAAGTAATAGTATTAAACATTATTCTTAGAAATAATTCATCACCTCAAAAATGCACCTTATGTAAAAGCGATTATTTATGAAATCTTTAGGATATTTTGTATCTTCAACACTGACATTCAAGAAATAACATTAAATTCTTACATTGGCCACACATGCACTACACACTCCCGTAAATTAATGAGATCCAAACAATTTACCCCATACAGATGATCATTTCGTCCATGAGAATCGAACTCACTACTTAGTCATAATAGTTTTAGCGAGACAAGTTTGCTAACCATTACATCACCTCGAGGTGTCCCTAAAGATTTTCCAAGCGAAGCTTAGATGTGGCACAGTGAGAATCGAACTCACTACTCAGTAGTAACTGACCTAGCAAGACAAGCTTGCTAACCATTACACCACGCCGAGGTGCCCATATATTGATTTTCCAAGCGTATCTCAGATGTTGCACGAGGCCGAAAGTATGGGGCACACAGTGAGGATCGAACTCACTACTCAGTCATAATTGTACTAGCGAGACAAGCTTGCTGAACATTACACCACCTTGAGGTTCCCTAAAGTATAAATGTAGTAACGGAGATATCTTGACACAAAAATTTCTTTTTAAGTAGGGTCTTATTGTCGAATTATATATATATATATATATATATATTTCTTTAAAGGTTCAAAGTGCTTTGAAAAATCAATTTCTCTTTCTCAGCAGTGAAGAGTAAATATATTTGTCAATATACAATGGAAGATTTAAACAAACAAATAAACGTTGTTTTTTTCTTCTGTTCTGTGTTAGTTAATTTTTTCTTGTTCGTCTGGCTGTGTTTATGCCAAAAGGTTATGGAATACGTCGAGTTGCCCATCTTTTAAGTAGTTTAAGCATCATGGCGCCGAGTAGCAAATCCCGAAGCAGTCATGAAACATATTCCCAAGGCCTTATTTGTAAGACTGTTTGCATTTAACTTGATTAAAACAAGCAAAATGGCGGAAGAAGACGAGACAAGGAAAACGTATTTGTCCTGATTTCACCAACGAAAACAAACGATAAAAAAAAAAAAAAATTTATATATATATATATATATATATATATATATATATATATATATATATATATATATATATATTCCTATTTAACTTTTCTTTTTCTTAGGATAAAACTCCCTAGAATTTCTGCGTAGAATATTTGTCTGAAATATTTAAATAGCTATTATCGATATTCGAACAAAGACGGAAGGTGGTTCTAATCCTACCGAAGGGTGTATTATTTTTTCTGGAAATACCTGTGAAGACTTATACAGAAAAGAATTATTCTTTATTTCATGAAATCATTGTTTTTGTAATTACAACGTTTCGGCGATTATTTCCTCTGGACTTCATCAGGTATAGGTCAGCATGGGCAGTGCAATAGAATGAGAACAATCTACCTACGCATGGTAAAGAATTACTTAAATTGTAAATCCCATACAGGTTACCGGGACAGACATACGCCTGATGAAGTCCGCAAGGTACAACAACCGATACATTTTAGCAGCAACAACGAAAATGATGAGAATAAACCAGAATGTAACTAAGGCAAATAATGATAATTTTCCATCACAGAAATTCAAATATTTATTATGGATGTTTTAGTATCTGATTGATAAAATGAAATTATATATATATATATATATATATATATATATATATATATATATATATATATATAGCATAATGAGAAGCCACGTATACTTTCTTAATATGTATATATAGAAAAAGTTTCAAATTGAAAATTATAATGTTTTATTTTATAAATAAATAAATACTTTCATAAAATAAAACATTATAATTTTCAATTTGAAACTTTTTCTATATATATATATATATTTATATATATATACATGATTTATATATATATATATATATATATATATGATTTTTTTATTGATTCAAATTTGGCTTTCCACAAATTCTTATGATGCTCTTTTTGTAATGAAGGCGTTACACTACAAACCATTCGATTCTTCTCCCCACAACTACGAGTTGAATCGCAGGAAAGATGGGGTTCTATAACTGTAATCTAGGTGAATTACCAAAGACGACCACCGAAAATGCAGTTAACACAGTTTCTTGATTTGTACTGTTTGCTGAAATCATGATTAATTACAAATATTTTTTATCTAATTTTTTTATTACCTTATCGTTTTTGAATAGTGGGGTGAATATTATTTTTAAAACGCGTTCCATTTTCCTTACGCAGCGTTCATTGTGATGTATTTATTGTACAGTTTCCGTCATTTCATCCTCGATTCGGAAGTTATCTATAATAGGGCGCCGATTCGTTGCATGCTTTTCTTCCTAGTCGTCCTGCTCTTCGACAAAAACTGTCTTTTTTTGTAAATAGACACAGATATTGATATTTGTCCTCACTGTATCACAGTAATCGAGGTGAATTAATTCAAGCTACATTTAAGTAGAAAATTGATCATATAAATGCAATTTAATGGTCTTCCGAAAGGAAAACGGCATTTGTGTCGTCACGTTATCAAACATTAAACAATATGAGTAAATAGCCTAACTAGGGCATTACTTGAATTCCAGTCTGGTTCCAAACATTCTCTTACGCACGAAATACATTTGGGTAAGGTATGAAGCCATATCTTATACCCCAGCTATGGATTAAATAGCAGAACAGGTTGTGCCTTACAGCCTTGGTTGAGAACTAGTTTATTGCAGCAAGTAAACCTACTGAGTTGTAATCTTCTGTTTTGTGAGACATGAATCGAAAGAGACATAATCTCCCAAGCGTCTATCACATATGACACTTAACTGGCTGATTGACTGTTGTTATCAAGGTTGAAGAGAAGGACAAATTCAGTCCGATAGTCTTGGTTGGCAACCTGTCTACTAAAGAAAGAAATGTCAAACTACTGCGGGAAAATCATTCGCCTAGTCAGTCATGAAACAAAGGGACATGATCGTCCAAATGCCTATCATGTATCTCACTTAACTGACTGACTTTTATTATCCTGGTTGGATAGCACGACAGACTGGGTCCTATAGCCTTGGTTGGCAACCTGTCCAAGCGTCCATCACATATTGCACTTAACTGACTGACTGATTGAGATAGGTATGGGGTTTGTCTGCATCAAATCGTTTTTCACGGACTTGCCATCCTTTCTGCATTTGCGCCATTGCTTCGTTTTTAGATTCTTTGGCGCTGCTGTAGATGTACTATGATTTACTTGAACTACAACCACTTCAAATACCATTTTAAATTTATTGGCTTCCTTTATTACTGAAAAAAGTTTATTATTTTTTTCATGTTATTATTATTATTATTGTCGCTTTTATTATTTATTATTGAAACAGTTCTAGAAGCCAAAGCTTCATAAAAGTTGTATACACCAAAGGTATCTCTTCTATATCGTCATTGCAAATTTTATTTTCAAATATGGAGTAAATGTGGAAACAGGCATAGATGCTTTTTGGGGGGGGTGATTGGAAGGGCCCGGATAAGAAGCTTACGTCATAGATTCTTTTGATTGGAGATATTTTTTTTATTTGATCAATTTTCCATGTTTGCAATCGTTCGACACTGAGGATATCGATTTGCGCTCGGACAAAATAAAAGGGACATGTTTAGAAATGGGAATATGATTGAACAGTATAAGGTTCAGTGTGGAAAAGAGATACGGATGAAGAAGGAAGGACATGAGACTTGTTGAGTGAGAGAGAGAGAGAGAGAGAGAGAGAGAGAAAGAAAAAGAAAAAAATGGATGGATTATAGAAAAAGAAGAAAGAATAAAAGAAAAAAATGTAAAATGATTGAAAGAAAAGAGATAAAGAGAATAAAAGAAATGAAAAAAAGAAAAATAAATTGAAAGAAAAAAGAGACAATGAAGGAAATTCATTAAAAGAATAGGGAGAGAAGGAGGATAAATGGACAGAAAGAGAAGAGAAATAGAGAAGGAAAGAAAATAAAAATTAATTGAATTGAAAGAAAGCGAGAATGAAAGCAATGAAAAATAAATTGATTCAAAGATAAGAGGAAATGAATTGAAAGAAAAGAGTGAAACAATGAAACAAAAAAAACATAAATGGTTTAAAGGAAAGAGAGGGGAATAAACAAAAGAAAAGGAAAGGGGATGAGAAAGAAAGTGAAAGAAAAAAAATATTCAATTGATTGAAAGAAAAGAAAGACAAGGAACGAGAATGAAAGAAAAAAAACAGGAAAGGTATTGAAAGAAAACAGAGAGTGATTGAGCAAAATGAAAAAGTAAGAAGAAAGAATAAATGAAAAGAGAGAGTGAATGAAAGAAATATATATTGAAGTAAAAGAGAGAGAATGACGAAAAGGAAAAGTAAATGAAAGAAACGAAATAGAAAATTCATTGAAAGAAAGAAAGCAAGAAAAAAGAAAAGAAAAAAGAAAAGGAATAAATAACAAGAGAGAGAGAGAGAATGAAAGAAAAGGGAAAAAAATTTCACTGAAAGAAAGAAAGAAAGAAAGAAAGATAAGAAAAGAAAGAAAAGAAAAAAGAAAAGAAAAGGCAAAAATGACAAGAGAGAGCGAATGAAAGAAAAGGCAAAAAAATTCACTGAAAGAAAGAAAGAAAGAAAGAAAGAAAGAAAGCTTAACAAGAGAGGGGGAGGGAGGATGAAAGAAAATAAAAAGAAGATGCGTTGAAAAAAGGAGGGAGTGAATGAAATTAAAAGAAAAAGAGATTGCATTAAAAACGAATGAAAAAGGAAGCTGAAAATATTTTTTAAAAAAGAAAGAAATGTTTGAAACTAAAAGATTTAAAATGAATAAAAAATTGCTTGTATTCACGAAATATTATTCATTTTGCTTAATACTAAATTCCACCCAATACAAACTCGAGAGCCACTCAAAGAAGAACGTTTCATTCAATATGTTAATGTGGAATGAATGGTATGAAAACCCTAGAAGTAATTTCAGATTATGAAGATAAGCAGGAGAGATAATATTTAATATTTCAATATATCTAGATATTGATAATATTAGTGGTCAATATATATATATATATATATATATATATATATATATATATATATATATATATATATAAGGCAGAATCAGAATGCGTGCGTGTGTGTGTGTGTGTGTGTGTGTGTGTGTAACGAATGCACGGCCGCAATTTTCGACGGATTTGCACCAAAATTTCATGCACATGCTCCAAGTTAGCGGCAAGGCCAAGACTGACTTTGCATTTCCCAACTCCCATCGATAATGGAAATAATCGATTTTTCATGATTCTACGGCAGTTTTCCTGTAGTTTGCGGCCATTTTCTACTGGCCAGCGTGAGAGCCAACAGCTGACTGACACGAATGTTAACTAGCATGCTAACATGCAAAAAAATCGATAGCTGCATTCGTCACAAGTGGAAAAATTTAAATCTGCATAGCACTTTACTCCAATTGGCTCATTCACTTGCTTAAACTCAACGTTGATTCTGATTCCACAGAACTGGGTTGGGTGTGAAAAAGTATTTGTTGTTAACATTCTTTTTTCATTCGGTTTTTCCAGTTACGAGTCCTTTTTTAAAGCTGATCGTTTTATGTTCATTTTGTTTAGTTCTTTTTTCGTAACAGATTTAATGTTTAGTATAGAGCTTAGAAAAAGTTCCCAGTGTGAACTAGGCAAGAAGTAAGGCATGTAGCAACATCAGCACGGAAAAGGGCACTCCTTTAAAGGCAAGGAAGGGCAAAAGTATTTTAAGTCAAGTGATAGCGATTGCTGTAAAGCACGGGCAACGGCCATGGCCTATATATATATATATATATATATATATATATATATATATATATATATATATATAATTACCAAGAGAATAGATGCTAGATGCAATCGTCAGGGCCTGACGATTGCATATATGAAACAGACTTTCGCCTCTAAGGGTTGACTTCTATGTTCCTTTTTATATAAGCATGTCCACTGTTTTCGCGGAAAAACAGCATAGCGTAAATGAAAAATGCCACAACCTTAAAGAAAATAAAGTATTATCGTCAAAATGCTTATGTTATTATTAAGATGAAAGAAAAAAGTATTTTTTAATTATTTTTTTGAAATTTTTTAATATTTTCTAACACGTTCGAAATTTTGGTTAAAGTCGTCTTTTGTTTACGTCATCGCGGCGACGTTTAAAATAACATTTTTTTTGCGTTTTTTTACCGTTGCAAACATATTAATTTGGAAATTCTTGTAAAAATAAAATAATTGTCCAATCTTAAGGAAATTTTCAGGACTTATTCACAAATCAATGAAATTATTTTTGAAATATTTTTTTTTAGAAAATTTTGGAAAAAATTATATGTTTTTAAAATATGTTACCCCACATTTACTTAATTTAATGAAATTTCGCCCAAAACCTTTTTGGTTCCTGATGTTTTTTTTTTTTTTTTGTTAAAAGTAGGTGTCTTCGAAGATGGTAAATAACCTACTTTTTTTTTTCAAATTTGAGCTATTTAACTGAAATTCTGCTCTGAATTAAAAAATAATGAATCCAATAAAACTATGATATTACTTAATTAGAAAAGCTTTTAATTGCTTTTGTAAATAAGTAATATTAAGGACATTATTGTCTGAAGAAATAATTTTTTTCTGATGAATAATTAATTTTTACAAGAATTTTTTCGTTTTTTAAGAAATTTTAATTATAATAATTTATAATATTTTTAAATCGTGTAAAGCTCTGTATTAAAAGGGTTCCTCGATATTATGTACTAACTAAGTAGAAAAAAAATTTACGAATCCAAAATTGCTAAGTTTAATAAATTTAGTTGCGCTACTTTTTTTAAAAATAATTTTTTATGTTGTATTTTTTTACTTAATACATTCCTTATTTCCATGTATGATATACAGAAATTGCCATTATTATAACAAGGTCAGGTGATCTAAGGGTTTTGTCCCTTTACGTGGCCTTTTCAAAACTTTTCGTTTCTTATAAGTTGTATTCTCCGTTCAAAAGTGTAAACTTTAAATTTTAAATTATTTTTTCTTTTTTTCATTTACTATTTCACTAAATAATTTTATTTTATGTATTGTATTGTGTGTGTCATACTCAAATAGAATAATTTTTTTAAAAACTCAGACTTAAAAATTATGTCCTTTATGGTCATCAGTAGTAGCTGTTATCGGCTCGTCAATCAACCATTATCAATAAGATCGAACGGATGAACGGGACCGCTCTTTAATAATTGGATGTATATTATTTTTTTATGCTATAAGTAACAAAGATTTCTTTGAAATCAGATCACTTTAGCTTTAAATTTTTTAATTTTACTAAAATAACGTGTCAGAATTTTTTTTAAATATTTTAAAAATCGATAAATTTGTGTTTGTTTACAAATTTCTTAAAATTAAGAAAATGGCCGTTTTTAAGAAAATTTAAAAATTTGAAATTAAATTTGACAATCAAATGCATATAGTTTCTATCTGAAATACACCAGAATTGTTTAATTAATAGAAATCCTAAATTTAGTTATTAAACTTTCAATTAAAGCTAAAATGAAATCTTCAAGAATGTTTTTTCATTGTAAAAAATTCATTTTAAACTTCAATATAGAAAATTTATGCCGAAATAGTGGAGGTACTTACTTTTATATTTACACACGCTCTATCGCTGATATCGAGCACTTTATCCCATAAATATAGCACACCTTAAGACTATATTTCTTCATATATATATATATATATAAATATATATATATATATATATATATATATATAGTTTTATGGTGTGCTATATTTATGGGATAAAGTGCTCAATATCAGAGATAGAGCTTATGTAAATATAAATATAAAAGTGAATATTGAAGACAGCTCTGCTGCTAGGGAGCACTGTCTTATAGAGTATAAGACTCCTTTTTACTATCAGCTTTCGTCAAAAAAGGTCATGATCTGCTAACCTGCTACTTACTCCTCTCCACTCAGCTGATTCTCTATGTGGGGTTTGGTTGAACTGGTTCTTGGGAGGTGACAACTGATATAGCAAGATCATTGTAAACGTAACAAAGTTAGTGAAAATATACTAGAAAAGACGAAAAAACGATGTGTTCATGCCTCAGCACTACCAAATAACACTTTATTTAAATCTACTCAAAGATAAACAGGTGATGTCTCTAACGTTTAGCAAACACAGAGTTCGAAACATTTTCTTTGTTAACAAAGAAATCACTGTGAATATTTTTAAAAGACAAAAGTTAATGACATTAGCAAAGGCAGTATATAGATGGGTATTAAAATAATAGACAAACAGAAAATATATACGAGTATTAGCAATCATATATAAAACATAAAAATATTCAAAATTAACAATAAAAAATTATTCAAGCCTTCGCAAAGACAAAAATAATATATATATATATATATCTGTGTGTGTGTGTGTGTGTGTAAAATGCGTATGTATATAAATATATTTATATCTATATCTATATATATATATATATATATATGCAATTTTATATATATAAATATTATCTTATTGTATATTCGCGGTACTCATTGGAAAGCGCTCAAGCTCAGTGACAGCTTTAACGTAAACAAACCCACTTGAATCAACTATATATATATATATATATATATATATATATATATATATATATATATATATATATATGTATGCATGTAGGCTGCAATTTTTCATTACTGCATGTTTCATTAAATAATATAGAAAAGTTTTGTCTATTTATTTTAACTAAGTTCCTTTCATATTGTCTGATAAGCTTAATCATATTATCGTTGAAAGACGAAAGGAAATCACCATATTGATACATGTTTAAATCCAATCTAAGCTTTCGGCTTACATAAGTCATTATCATAGATGGCAATTTCAATAAATCAAACAACACACAGACGAAACCATAATAATAGTCCGCACTTGCATCATGAAAATTTCCAAGTCACGACAAACTCGTATATATGAGACGCGGAAGCCAAAATCGCGTCGCAGCTCGTGACGTCACACATGGCCACTCGAGAGTGAAAAAAGAGAAGTATTAAGTATGGGAAGCCGTTGGTATAAACCAATGGCTTCTGTTATAAATTATAGGCATTTAAGGATGTACATGGCTGAGATTCTATAATCGCACCCCCTGCATACTCGCATCTTCCTATATTGAAATGTCTGCCTGTGATCACGCTTGCATGCATCATCCGATGGTATATTAAGCTATTCTCCCTCCTCTTTTTTACGGTATGCATTTCGCTAGTGTTTGATTGTTCTTAATAAAGAAATTCCATCGATAAAACCTTCTTTGTGATCATTATTCGGGGTTAAATTGTTTCAATGTTTTAGACATTCAGTAAATTTTCTATGGCCGTAATAACTTTCAAATAGTATGGCATTGGTAACAAATCTAATAAACAAACAAAAACAGGAATATAGCATCAGAGTTTGATTCACCTTCAACTGCAAACGCATGAACGCCCTTCTCCCTTTCTTCGCACGTTTACTGCAAAGCTGGGGTTAATTAGTGATTCTTCGGGAATTTTTCCCTTTCAATAATTCTTCGCAAACAATTTTTGGATCAAAGGTTGTTCGAAAGCCAAGTTATGATGTAATCATATGAAGAAACTATTGGCTAAATGGAAAAGCCGATTTTGGACCTAGTTTGTCGCAGATTGTGTTAAATTAAATGAAATAATTTAAACCCGCCATTCACACAAGACAATCTGTGTGTCATATGTAATTTACGTGGCTAATTTGGAAATCATCGGCTGAAAAACCATGGAGTTATGGCCGAAGAACGGGCTTTTTTTAACAATTTTTCGTGTTTTCTCGTTATACGTGAGAAAGCATGCAGGACTAGAACCACTTTTATTTCTTGCATGATGATTAGTTTTTTGCGATATGTTTGTAGAAAACAGGATAAGGAATAAAGATGTTATTCAAGTTTTTTTATTTTCAATAATAAGAAAAACCTGACAGATTTGCCATTTTTTGTTTAAAGTCAATGTCACTGTAAAACTATCAATCACTCTACATAAACCTCGTAACAGGAGCGGACGTTTTGAATTAAATGCAAAGAACATCAGCTCAAATAGTAAAAATATTCGTGTATAATTTTGCCTTGGCTTTTGTCAAAAGTCATACGTACCTTCAGTTTTATCGATTTTTTTTACCCAAACCGGGGTCATGGAAATTAAAAAGTTGGTCTTGATCTAGTTAAATAAATTTACCACATGTATATGCAATTTTATCGAAATTTATCGAGAAATGTGGACGTTCATAAATAGCATACACACACCATCAGACACAAACAGACACCTAGACAGACATACACACAGACATCTTCTGTTTTATAGATATAGATGTATCGACATATGCAAATATGTCATAAATATGCAATAATATATCTACATACTGTAAATATATAAATTCCTGCAATTTTTATATATCTTCTATGTATATACACGCACGTAGACACAACAAATATATATATACATATATTATTATTATTATTATTATTAATAATCAAATTATGTATATATGATTTCTTTGTGACGTATTCAGAGTTGTACTTATGTTGGGCATTTTTTTTTTCCTTCAAAGATCAATGTTTCTCTCTTAAACATTCTCCAGTAGCAATTGCAGGCAAATGTATCATTTCTCCCTAACATGAAAATGAATTTCTTTCAATAAACTCACAGCGAATATTTTCTCCGTTTGAAGCACCTTAGCTCTTAAGTACTTACCTGATGGGAAGAAGAAAAAAAAATTCTCCATCAGTCCAGAAAACAAGTTCAAAGATATTAGAGGGAGAGAGGTGGGAATAGAGAGGGAGAGAGAAGGACAGACAGAGTTAGAGAGCCGGGAAGAGAGACAGAGAGAAAGATGAGAGTGACAGAGAGGAAGGAAGTGAGAGAGATGGGCAGAACGCGCAAATTGATGGGGGTGGAAATAAAGGATTTTGTGGACATTTTTAATGTTTTTCTTTCGAGTGATTAATAAAAGTGGTTTGTGATTACGCAATGAATATGGAGTCCATTTTCTATAATTTCATTGGTCCACCTCATGACTAGTCATGCGAAACTGAGGTAAGTATAGAGGGATTAATACAATGTTATCGATAATATCAAGATAGATAGATAGATAGATAGATAGATAGATAGATAGATAGATATGAACTGAGTCAGATAGATAGATAGATAGATAGATAGATAGATAGATAGATAGATAGATAGATATGAACAGACTGAATTAGAGATAGATTGATAGATAGATAGAATGAACAGACTGAATTAGAGATAGATAGATAGAATGAACAGACTGAATTAGAGATAGATAGATAGATAGATAGATAGATAGATAGATAGATAGATAGATAGATAGATAGATAGATAGATAGAAACTGATTTCCATAGACAGGTAGAGATGGAATAAACCAGTTGAAAAGGAAAGAAACAAAAAAAAATCAGCTATCGAGCTAGCTAAGATAGATAGATAGATAGATAGATAGATAGATAGATAGATAGATAGATAGATAGATAGCGAGAGTGAGAGAGAGATAATGAACAGATTGAAATAGATAGATAGATAGATAGATAGATAGATAGATAGATAGATAGATAATGACCTCATAAAGAAAGGAAGAAAGTAAGAAAGGATATCTAGCTAGCTAAGATAGATAGATAGATAGATAGATAGATAAAAGAAAGAAACATCTAGCTAAGAGCTCGGTGTGTGAGAATAATAACAAATCATTCAGATGAAGATAATTAAGTTTGAAATATTTGAAATGTAAGTTTTTCTTTGAAATTTTTCTTAATTCTCTCTCACTCACTCATCATATATATATATATATATATATATATATATATATATATATATATGCATAGAAACAAAGAAAAAAGAAAGAAAGAAAGAAAGAAAGAGAAAAGAAACAAATAATCAGGTAGCCACTAAGATAGATAGTTAGATAGATATAAACTGATTTACACAGGCATATGAAGAGAGAGTTAGCTGATTGACTAAGAAAGAAAATTAGATAGGCATGAATAGAGAAATAGAATTTCCATAGACAGATAGATATGACCTCATTTCGAGATATCTATTTTTATACAGATATACACCTCTATGAACTCGTAAGTGTGAATCATTGAACTCGGTCCTTGAGCTGCTTACAAAATTGAATTATTCCATGACAGTAGACGCTGGATTTACGTCAATTTTACGGGAATCTATTCCTTATGCAAAATGAATGCTTCTTTCATTATTACACCACGAACTTATTGACGCACCTGAAAGATCTAACCAGTTTAAACTCCGTTGGGTCCACATTTCTGGCGAAGGGTAAATAAAATATAATCATGTAATCATATAATAAGAAATGAGGTATATTGACAACCTGAGATCAATCGTTTTGCACATATAGACAAAGATATTAATGGTTGCTTCCGCTATTCCGTTTAAACCTACAGTAGAAATCGAACTTGCAACCTTATCAACTATTTGTGAATCATCTGAGAGACACCTGTCGATCTCCCATCAGCATGGCTGATGCTAACCACCAGGAAGGAGCATCGTGACAGCTTCTCAGCCTAACATGCTCAGGTGACATGAAATGGAAGGACTATATTGGAATCCATTGATAGACCTCCTGCTGAGAAAATTTGTTTTGTGATAGGACTTTTTTCTCTCCAGAATCTATTTTGCATATCTATAAGTCAATCATTCATCAACGATTGGAATATTGCTGTTAAATATAGTCCAGCACACCTGCTATTTATCTTCAGCTCGTTGATAAAATCCAAAGAAGACTCAGCAATATTAATGGCCCTGATCTAACGGTTCAGCTACAGTCACTCACCAACCGCCGTAAGTTTTCTTCCCTGTGACCTTTTCAATAAATACTTTTATGGTAATTGTCCGGATGAACTCTTTCCCTCAACGACTTTTTGAATTGGAGCGCAATACTAGATCGGCAACAATATCACATCAATGCATATTTGAGCTGGCTAGATGTAACCGTAATCTCTATGCTAGTTTCTTTTCATGCACATCTCGCGTGTTGAACTCCCCCCCTCCCGGCTCCATTGCTTTTCGACAAACTTTAATCTGCAAAAATTTTGATTCAGTGTCAGTAGCTGTCAACCATCTTTTCTCTTCCCGCTCATTATTAATGTTTCTGTTCGTAAGTCTTCCACACTCAGTAACCCCTTGTGTCTTAGTGGCTTTCCTCCCTGGCAAAAATTTAAATGCAATGCAATCGCTATCTACTGTCCTCCTGATTACTCTTTTCTCTTCCCGCTCATTATTAATGTTTCTGTTCGTAAGTCTTCCAGACCCTGTAACACCATGGTGCCTTAGTGGCTTTAGTGCCTTTCATGGCACGAAATTGGTTTTACTGTCTAGGTTGTGGAACTCCCTCCCGGCTCCATGCTTTACAGCCAACTTTGATCCAAAATTTAAATGCAATATCAATCGTTATCTACCGTCTTCCTGATTATTGTTCTCGCTTACTTCTCACTTGTGGAACACTCTTCCAATTCCATGCTTTACAGCCAACTTTGATCTTTAAAAATTTAAATGCAATGTCAATCGATTTCTACTGTCTTCCTGATTACTCTTCTATTGTTCTCACTCACTTCTCACTTGTGGAACACTCTTCCAATTCCATGATTTACAACCAACTTTGATCTTCAAAAATTTAAATGCAAGGTCAATCGTTTTCTACTGTCTTCCTGATTACTCTTCTATTGTTCTCGCTCACTTCTCACTTGTGGAACACTCTTCCAACTCCATGCTTTACAACCAACTTTGATCTTCAAAAATTTAAATGCAAGGTCAATCGTTTTCTACTGTCTTCCTGATTACTCTTCTATTGTTCTCACTCACTTCTCACTTGTGGAACACTCTTCCAATTCCATGATTTACAACCAACTTTGATCTTCAAAAATTTAAATGCAATGTCAATCGTTTTCTACTGTCTTCCTGATTACTCTTCTATTGTTCTCCTCACTTCTCACTTGTGGAACACTCTTCCAATTCCATGATTTACAACCAACTTTGATCTTGAAAATTTAAATGCAAGGTCAATCGTTTTCTACTGTCTTCCTGATTACTCTTCTATTGTTCTCACTCACTTCTCACTTGTGGAACACTCTTCCAATTCCATGATTTACAACCAACTTTGATCTTCAAAAATTTAAATGCAATGTCAATCGTTTTTACTGTCTTCCTGATTACTCTTCTATTGTTCTCCTCACTTCTCACTTGTGGAACACTCTTCCAATTCCATGCTTTACAACCAACTTTGATCTTCAAAAATTTAAATGCAAGGTCAATCGTTTTCTACTGTCTTCCTGATTACTCTTCTATTGTTCTCATTCCTCACTTCTCACTTGTGGAACACTCTTCCAATTCCATGATTTACAACCAACTCCATTTGATCTTCAAAATTTAAATGCAAGGTCAATCGTTTTCTACTGTCTTCCTGATTACTCTTTCTATTGTTCTCGCTCACTTCTCACTTGTGGAACACTCTTCCAACTCCATGCTTTACAACCAACTTTGATCTTCAAAAATTTAAATGCAATGTCAATCGTTTTCTACTGTCTTCCTGATTACTCTTCTATTGTTCTCACTCACTTCTCACTTGTGGAACACTCTTCCAATTCCATGATTTACAACCAACTTTGATCTTCAAAATTTAAATGCAATGTCAATCGTTTTCTACTGTCTTCAAAAATTTGATTACTCTTCTATTGTTTACTCTTCTATTGTTCTCACTTCTCACTTGTGGAACACTCTTCCAATTCCATGATTTACAACCAACTTTGATCTTCAAAATTTAAATGCAATGTCAATCGTTTTCTACTGTCTTCCTGATTACTCTTCTATTGTTCTCACTCACTTCTCACTTGTGGAACACTCTTCCAATTCCATGATTTACAACCAACTTTGATCTTCAAAAATTTAAATGCAATGTCAATCGTTTTCTACTGTCTTCCTGATTACTCTTCTATTGTTCTCACTCACTTCTCACTTGTGGAACACTCTTCCAATTCCATGATTTACAACCAACTTTGATCTTCAAAAATTTAAATGCAATGTCAATCGTTTTCTACTGTCTTCCTGATTACTCTTCTATTGTTCTCGCTCACTTCTCACTTGTGGAACACTCTTCCAATTCCATGATTTACAACCAACTTTGATCTTCAAAAATTTTTAAATGCAATCGTTTCACTGTCTTCGTTTTCTCACTCACTTACTGGTCTTCCAATTCCATGATTTACAACCAACTTTGATCTTCAAAAATTTAAATGCAATGTCAATTGTCTTCTGATTCTCTTCTATTGTTCTTCTCTCTTGTGGAACACTCTTCCAATTCCATGATTTACAACCAACTTTGATCTTCAAAAATTTAAATGCAATGTCAATCGTTTTCTACTGTCTTCCTGATTACTCTTCTATTGTTCTCACTCACTTCTCACTTGTGGAACACTCTTCCAATTCCATGATTTACAACCAACTTTGATCTTCAAAATTTAAATGCAATGTCAATCGTTTTCTACTGTCTTCCTGATTACTCTTCTATTGTTCTCACTCACTTCTCACTTGTGGAACACTCTTCCAATTCCATGATTTACAACCAACTTTGATCTTCAAAAATTTAAATGCAAGGTCAATCGTTTTCTACTGTCTTCCTGATTACTCTTCTATTGTTCTCGCTCACTTCTCACTTGTGGAACACTCTTCCTTCCATGATTTACAACCAACTTTGATCTTCAAAAATTTAAATGCAATGTCAATCGTTTTTACTGTCTTCCTGATTACTCTTCTATTGTTCTCGCTCACTTCTCACTTGTGGAACACTCTTCCAATTCCATGATTTACAAAACTTTGATCTTCAAAAATTTAAATGCAATGTCAATCGTTTTTCTTACTGTCTTCTATTGATTCACTCTCTTCTATTGTTCTCCATGATTTCTTTGACTTCTCAATCGTTTTTGTGGAACACTCTTCCAATTCCATGATTTACAACCAACTTTGATCTTTTGAAAAATTTAAATGCAATGTCAATCGTTTTCTACTGTCTTCCTGATTACTCTTCTATTGTTCTCGCTCACTTCTCACTTGTGGAACACTCTTCCAATTCCATGATTTACAACCAACTTTGATCTTCAAAAATTTAAATGCAATGTCAATCGTTTTCTACTGTCTTCCTGATTACTTTTCTATTGTTCTCACTTTCACTTCTCACTTGTGGAACACTCTTCCAACTCCATGATTTACAACCAACTTTGATCTTCAAAATTTAAATTGTCAATCGTTTTCTACTGTCTTCCTGATTACTCTTCTATTGTTCTCGCTCACTTCTCACTTGTGGAACACTCTTCCAATTCCATGATTTACAACCAACTTTGATCTTCAAAAATTTAAATGCAATGTCAATCGTTTTCTACTGTCTTCCTGATTACTCTTCTATTGTTCTCGCTCACTTCTCACTTGTGGAACACTCTTCCAATTCCATGATTTACAACCAACTTTGATCTTCAAAAAATTTAAATGCAATGTCAATCGTTTTCTACTGTCTTCCTGATTACTCTTCTATTGTTCTCGCTCACTTCTCACTTGTG